AATGCGATCCCCTCTGTCTCTCCGATAAATAGAATATCCTGGAAGGATCTCGCTGTCGAGGACTGTATGATTTAACCAGGTTTCGCAGACACAGATGATGTCGAAATCACCGCCATATACTAATTGTTGTAAGATTGACATTTTACATATYTTGGTAGTGTTCSGAGCACAGTCTGCGTATGRGACCAAAGCTTTTAGGCTACGAGYGTTTAGATAAAGAACGTGCAAGAAGCTCCTAACAAGGTCGGGACCAGKATTTGGAGAGATGTCCATGTGGATGGTCAAGTCAATGCTCCGATGGAAATCAGGTAACGAGTAGCAGGTGCAACCATGCTTCGTCCAGTTCACATGTTCACGTCGAAGTGGGCCAGGAATTCGGCGAYGAATAGTTATAGGACGTGAAAAGAACGGTGTTATGTGCTGGACAGGTCTATTTGTGTCGACTCCAAAGGCAAAAGAGGCCAGTGAAAGCAAACTTAATAGCAGAGCTAGACACACACGTGCGTCCGCCATCTTGAATATTAAAATGTTCGAATATGAAGACCATGTTCTTGTAGAACAACAAGCAGAAAAAATCCAAAGAGAATATTTTGAAAGAGGGGACGCAGAAGATCAAGCCATTGACCTTGACTCACTGTGTATGCTTTTAATATCTGATCACCAGGATCACATCACACTACCGTGCCCTTCTTCCTACAAAGTACAAAACCTGCTAAATGCCATGAGAGTTCCAGAAGAAGTCGCCATAAGCAGCGTGGGATCGGCAAAGAAGAAGAACGATATTATAAGCACAATCACACAGAGTGACGAGATACATTCCTTGGGAATGATTTTCTGGGACCAGTGTTGCCGCATGATATTCAAAGATGTCACAGCTGCCATTGAAAACCATACCGTTTCATCGCCACAATGGCTGCAGACTACCAAACAACTATACCTCATGATAACAAGATCTCCGGAGTACATTAAAGTGCTGGAAATGTTTTTTAGCATATCTCCATAACTCCAGTGCATAGTGCTATTGGCGCCGAGTTAATGGAAGAGACATACAAGTGTATACTAGCTTCTGCAGCTGAGAAAGTTGAGAAAAATAAAGTTGTTGAGCCTGTAAATTTCAACGTGAGAGACATGCCCCCTGAAGGCTTGGCCAAGGTGAGGTATGTGGGTGCGCATGGGCAGTCCAAAGGGTTCTCATGACTTTTAGAAATTATGTCAGGGATAACCTCACAACAGTCACGCGCAAGACCGTTGAGGAAAAACTTTACCTTTGCAATCTCATTGAAGACCACCTACTTGCCAACGTAGCCAGGCTTCAGCAGATTCCCTGCATACATCATCTTTGAATGTAACAGAGGAGAAACAGTATAGAAATAGAGCGCTCTTACATATTGAGGATAAAGTGTTTGAATTCTTCTTGGACTTGGAGGGTACAATGGTTGAATATGTAAATGAGCAAAGGCTGATGCAGTTCAAAGAGCATATTATAGATAATGCTCTCACATCGATGAAAGATAGCAAGAAATTAAAAGACAAATGGCTGGAGTGCTTCCCATATAAAATAGGTGTATCGAACAAGGTAACTACTTCGATCATGTTCGCGAATTCATAAATACTGAAATATAGTTGTAAAATATTATTCTCGTCTATTCTAGGGGGCTATTCTGAAAATATTCAAGATGGTAGTGGAGAAATATGTCCATATGGGGGCAGACCAGTTCCTTCGAGACTTCAGAAGAGCACATAGGTAAGTATTTATATGGCCTTATATATACTGTGTGAAATTTCTGATGATAATGATAGTGGTAACGGCTCTCCTTGGTTGTTGACTTTTCATCAAAATGGTCTAGGCTACAATAAAATGTACATTAAAAAAAGACCAACTAAACTATCGATGGTATCTGTGATCCTCACCTCACTTATTAATAAACTAATTTCTGCCAAGGACTGGTAAATACACACAATATATATCTTACATACAACAAAAAAGACAACTACAAAAAGAAACAACGAAGCGATATATATTCAAGGATTTCTTGTTTTATTTAGAATCAAGAGAACAGCTGAGCACCGTAAGAAAGTGCTTGAGAGACAAAAACCTCGTGAAGTTAAGACGGCGGTTTGTACAATTGATGACATGAAGGCAGACACTTCCCCTGGAAAGGTGACTTCTCATCATAAGATCATTAATTTCGTGGAAAAATTTGGTGAAGCTGAATTCGTGAAGGCTTACAAGAGGACGGAACTGGTAACTCTTTCTAAGGCCTATGGTGTGTCAACAAATGGTGGATGGTGGATTCAACACCAAGACCAACAAAACCCAGCTAGTACGTAAATTTTTACCAGCTTTAAAGGCAAATAATCAAATTCTACATCCAAGCAATCTCTCATAAAGAATGCGGTTTTCATTCGGTAATGCTCATTAAAATTATTAGTATGATATATACTAACAAGTACATGAACA